TATAAAATACATACCAGACCTCCAAGTGAAAGTAAATTATCATATTACCGTTTTATGCTAGTAGCATAAAGATGCATAAATGGTGATTTTTGATATATTAAACAAACAAAACATTTATTAAATTAAAATTATTTTTACCTACATTTCTGTGCTTTTTAAAAAAAATATGGCTTCTACCAACTTTAAATATGTGTTTAAGGAAAGAAATTTTTTAAAAACATGGCATTTATATCAATAATGAGACAAAGATGTCAGAATTCAGGCTTGAGTTGATTCTGGTCCTGGTTGTGCCCCACTCAATAACTTCCAGGTAGCAGGGAGCCACTGCGTATGAGCTGAAGCCTGCCTCAGAGATCCTAACCTAACTGTGCAGCCATGGAACTCTGTCTGAAACCTAGTAGACCCCCACCCAGCATCCCCAAACAACGTGGGACCTCTGGGTCATCACTCTGGCCCTGGCTGGACCCTGCCCAGCAACTTCTAGGTAGCAGAGAGCCACTGCATGTGAGCTGAAGCCTGCCACAGAGATCCATAAGTAACTCTGCAGCTGTGGAACTCTGCTTGGAACCTGGCAGGCCTCTGTCCAGCATCCTTGAACAATTCAGGATCTTTAGGTAGTCACTTGGGTCCTGATTGGGCTCTGCCAAGCATCCTCCAGGTTGCCAGCACCTACTGCTTGTGAGCTGAAACCAACCTCAGCAATCTCCACCTAGCTGTGCAGTGGCGGATCTTTGCTTAGAACCTGGTGGAGCCACACCCAGAGACCCCAAGAAGCCAGGGAACTTTGGTGTGCCACATGGCATGAGCTGAAAGCCTGCTTGGTATATCTCACATACCATTAAAGAAATCCCTTGTTCATGAATAGGAAGAACAAAATGGTGAAAATGGTCATTCTCCCTAAATTGTTAAACAGATTTTATGCAACCTAATCAAAGTGCCACTAGCATATCTCACAGATCTAGAGAAATCATTCCTAAAATTCATCTGGAATCAGAAAAGACCTAGAATAGCAAAGGCAATTCAGGACAACAAAGGCAAGGCAGGAAGAATCACAATCCTTGACTTAAAGTTATACTACAAAGCTACTGTGACAAAATTTGCATAGTATTGGAATAAAAACAGACCTGAAGAGCAATAGAATAGATCAGAAGATACAACTACAACTACAAATATGCTCAGCCACCTTACCTTTGACAAAGGGTCAACCAAGTGAGATGACAGTCTCTTTAATAAGTGGTGCTGAAAAAACTGGCTCTCCATATGCCAAAAACTAAAACTAGACCCATGCCTATCATCATGAACTAAACTAAAGTCAGAATGGATCAAAGGTCTAAATGTTAAACCAGAAACGCTAAATATACTGGAAGACAAAGTAGGTAGAAATCTTTAAAACATTGAGATCAGTAGAGAATTCATGAAAAAAAAAAATCAAACTGCAATGGAAATACTTTCCAGAATCAACAATTGGGATATTGTCTTATTAAAAAGTTTTTCATGTCAAAAGAAATCACCAACAGAGTGAAAAGAAAACCCATGAATTGGGAAAAAATCTTAGTCAACTGTCCCTTAGACAAAGGACTTCTATCTAGAACAGATCAAGAATCAAAAAAAAAAAAAAAAATCAGGTCCCTCAAATTCAAAGACCAATGCAAAAATGGGCATCTGAGATGAAAACATGGTTTTTAGCTGGAGAAATACAAATGCAAGTAAATACATGAAAAAACTGTTCAGCATCATTGGTCGTTAGAGAAATGCAAATTAACACCACATTGAGATTCCATCTCACTCCAGAAAGAACAGCCAAGATCAAGAAAACTAGCAATAACAAATGCTGGAGAGATTGTTGGGGGAAAAGGAACACTTCCACACTGTTGGTGGGAGTGCAGACTGGTGCAGATATTGTGAAAATCAGTGTGAAGGTTCCCCAAAACCCTGGGATTGGAGGTCTTGTTTGACCCAGCTATTCCACTTCTGGGCATATTCCCAGAAGAACTAAAAACATATCACAGTGATGTATGTGCACCTATGTTTATAGCAGCACAATTTGTAATAGCTAAATCTTGGAAACAACACTAATGTCCATCAACTGAGGATAAAAAAATTGTGGTATTTTTATACAATGAAATACTCCTCAGCTATAAAGAAAGACTGCATCGAGACTTTTATAAGTAAATGGATGCAACCTCAGACCATTCTCATAAGTGAAATAAATCAAACTCACATGTAAATACCATATCGTCTGCCTTGTGTAAGAAACTGAAAGAGTATATAAGTTAAAAATCTTCAATAAATAATATCAAAGGGTAAGAAAACTCCTCAAGGTGGAAAAATAACACAGGGAAAAAGAGAAAATAAAGAAGATAAATGAAACAAGATACAAATTCACACATATAACTTAAGATTAATAAGATGATTGTACCACTAATTCTATTAGTTCTTGGAACGAAACAGATAATATCCATAGGATTAGATCAATTTTGCATGACTATATCTGGTAATTTAAATAAGACTAATGAAGATAACTATGCAAAACAACAAAAATTGTTATGTTTTGAAAGTATATGAATATGCTTATGTATGCCTAGAACTTCACCTAAAGAGTTTACAAGAATTGATTTTAGTATGTGTGATAGTATGAACAACTACACTGAAGAAAATGAGACACCATGGTAGCCATTGATGATTTCCTATTATTTTGATTCAAAAGCCAATAATGCTTTTATTCTTGGTTTTGATTGGTTTTAGTCTGCTTTCAATTATTTGATTCCAATATGTATGAAGATATGGGCAGCTATTTTGAAGAAAATAAAAGACATTATGGTAGCCACTATTCATTTCCTGCTGTCTTTGTCTGAACTCCTGTGTTATTTGCATTGTTTTACTGTCTACTTCATTGTATTTTTTGTTTGCTTTGTTTTATTTTATTCTCTTTAAAATAAGAAAAAGACTTATAAAAAAGAATTTAGGTTTGACTAGCAGCAGAATAAACTACACTTGATTTGGTAAAGTCTCAAATGCCACAGTGTCACAAGAGAAAACCAGGTGATCTTCAAAGTTATAACCTGAGATAATGATAGGATGCCTATACAGGCATGTACTCAACATCAGAGGAAGGTTTGGAACAACGGTGAGTACAGATCCTAGCAGGTTGGCAAATTGTGATCAAGTAGCACATAATTGGAAATCCAGGTGTAAAGGAGACTTAGGAATCACTGAAGATAAAAGAAAAAACTCAGTTTTAGGAAGACTCCTACATGGGAAGTTGCAGTGAAGAAAAAAAGGAGGGCAACAGTTTGATCATACAGAATATTAGTAAAGAATGAAGTAAGTACTTCGATATTAGAAATGAGGGCCACAAAGAAGAAGGTCCATAGATCCTAATCACCGAGCTAAATGACCCAGGAAGTTTTGCATTTCCCCATCCCTATGTAGAGTACTGACCCCAAAGTTATGGGTGAGTCAATGGCAGTGTAGGACAGAAGTGAGCTGGGTGTCTAAAAGTCATTATATCAACTCTTATAACCTAACCAGACTTCAGTCATGCCACTTGGATGAAAGACTGAGCTCTTTCACACTGTACCATGAAGCAGAATTATAGGAGTTTGTTGGAATACTACCAGCACTGGGGTAAATCCATTACTTGTTGAGAAGTTTGAGGATATAAAGGGAGGAGAACTGTAAACCTCACAAATACAAGGAGCATAACAAATAACAAAACCACATGGTCACTGCTTCCTTTCTTATTACTCATTTACCTCCTGCACCTCCACTAATCCCATATCTGCTTTCTTTAAGGTTACCAGTGACCTCCCTGTTTCTGAATCCAGTGTCCCTTTTCCACTTCTCATCTTTCCTGGGAATAGTGGGAACTTAATAAATACCTGGTGGATGAAAGAATCCAGGCACCACAGTCTACCTAGAATTTTGTGACTACAGACTTTCCCTCTGCCTAGAACACTTTTTCCTTTCCCCCTCTCTGGTTATCTGCTGAGACATCTTCAGGGAAGAATTTTCTGACTATCCAAAGTAAGCCAAACCCTAAGTTCTAAAAAAATTCTTGTACTGTATTTTCTCAAGGACACATGGATAGTCATTACTGATTACTACTTGAGTAGTCATTAATGTCAGCTCTTCTACTTCTGGGCATATTCCCAGAAGAACTGAAAACATATCACAGTGATGTATGTGCACACATGTTTATAGCAGCACAATTTGTAATAGCTAAATCTTGGAAACAACACAAATGTCCATCAACTGAGGATAAAAAAAGTTGTCAGGGTCAACTCTACCCACAAGGCTGGGAACTCTACATGAGTTTGGGGGTACTTTTGTTGTTTGTTGTGCGGTTTTAAATGTTTAAATGTTTCAAATGACAAAGCCTGAATCATGGTAAAGACTTAATATCTATCTGATGAATAAATAAAAATAGTAACATTTTCCTTTTAGCCTACAGTTAATAAGTAAAAGATACTTGGTATCATAAATAAGTCATTGCCATCAATTGGAATAAAACTCAAAATGTCACAGATGATCATATCATAGAATCACAGAATCCTGATCCAGAAAGCATTCTAAAGCTCTTGTGGTAATTCTCTCCATTTATTCATCTGTTTCTTCATCTATCTACTGTGGAGACATTTAGAGGGACTATGGCAGTGTAGCTTGGGCTGTGAAGTCAAACTGCCCAAATCTGAATAGTAGCTCTGCTGTTTGTTAAGCATGTGACATCGAGTGTGTTCATCTCTGCTTCTCCACCTACCAATAGGAATAAGTATATAGTGTCTACACTAAAAAGTTATAAGCCAGGTGTAATGATGCATGCGTCTAATCCCAGCACTCAGGAGGCTAGGGCAGGAAGATCACAGTGAGTTCCAGGCCACTAGGTTACACAGTTCAGGCCAGCCTGGACACAGGGAAACCTATCTCAAAATGAAAAACAGACAAAAACAACAAAAAAGTTGTACCCATAAAGTGCTTAAACATCACTGGATACACAGCAATGTATAATAAATAGTAGCAATACTCTTTATTACTATGATAAATACTGAAAATATATAAAGAAGACAATTTTTAACTTCAATAAGCTCAAAGACTAAGAAATTTAAAATCTAAGAATTTCAGATGTGGAGATAATTTACACACATGCTCTTCAAAGGAACTTAACCTTTCCTGGTAGGTAGGGCAAAAAAGCTTTGTTTATACAAATAGAGTCATAGTATTATTAATAATAATTGTAGAGATAGTTGATATGCCTATGATGGGTACAATTTACCTATAACTAAAACATGCTTACATTTTTTTCTCTGGATGGACAAGTCAAGCAGACACTCTTAGGCATATTTACAATTATAACAGATGCTACAATACTGCCTTTTTTCCACAAGTATTCTGTAACCTTACTTTTCACATTTCTTTATCTACTTTACATCTGTGTGTCCATTTTAGAACATAAGTAAATGATAAAATATATTTAAATAAAATGATAAATATATTTAAGTAAAATGATAAAATGATAAAATATCATGCATGAAATGCATGATATTTAAGTAAAATGATAAATATATTTAAGTAACATGCATGAAAGGATCAAGTGTAGCTTCTGGGCAAAAATATACAACCTGAATTTAACTATGAAAATAATCAGACAAACTTTATTACTGTCAATATTGTATGGAATTCATATAAAGCTTTATCTCTTCTAACTTTCCAGCATATAAATGTAAATAGGTATAGTACTACTATTGAGAAGCAAAGAACATATCTATGTCTATAGAAAATTATGGCATTAATTAATACAGAAATACATTACCAGGATGGTCAAATAAAATTAATTGCAAAATATTTCAAATTCACTGCCAACCCCATTATTCACAAAGGTATTTTCAATTGATTGTTTTGATTTAAAAATCTAGCTCTTTTTTTAAAAAACTGCAAAGGAGTCAGTATCCCCTCACTATAGCAGTTATTGTTGAAAGTCTAATTTCACCAGAATAGTAAACTTCTAAAAACAGGAAACACTGCAATATTCCTCATTATAAATACCTATCTACATATTTCAGTTCCTACCACAGAAATAAGAATTACAAATTGTTATGGAGCCCATGAAAGTCCACTTGTTGTTGAATTTTGTTTCACATTAAAGCAGTTTGTTTCTCTAGTCCTTCAGTTAGGCACCTCCAATTCCTAGTTTCACTTTGAGTCTTCCTTTTGAAACTTCATTTGAGCTGTCTTCTACCCAAACAATTTCCACTGTTCACTTCAGATGTTGAGTCTCATTGATGAAGATGACAACCAGCTTAATGAAATATAAGACACAAAGAAATAAGGCAAAAAAGAAAATTACTAAGTGTTGCAATTATTAAAAGGAACTAACATTAGTGGGCCATGGAAAAATGATTTTTGAGATGAAAATCTTAAATTTGGAAATAGCTCTCAACATAACTTTAATTCCTTCTGAACTATTCTCCTCTAGGTCTTCTATAAGATGGTGAATAAAAGTGTTGACAAGAATTACATTTTATTTTGAAAATCAAATTTCAAGTGCAAACACTTAAAAGCCTACCAAAGCAAGGGCAATTATTTTGGAAATATGCTCTAAAGGTAAGAATACTATTTTTAAAACAGTAAACTTTTTAAAAATCCTGATATATTTTATAAAAGTGAAAGAAAGACAGTATAGAGTTAGGTATAATAGTATATTAGATAGTGTTTAGTGTCACACATCATCTATCTTGTTGATCATGTAGGTAGGTAGAAGGCTACAGAGTAACTACTATTTGTGACATTAACCTTAACAGAGCTGCTCTGATTGGGCAGGAAGAGACCCCCTCCTCTTGGGACAGAAAGAATGGTCTCCCTGGATGTGAAAAGTTTTTCCTTGGACCTAAGTTATGCTAATAATTTTCTATCACAGTTTAATTTCAATAGTCCATTCAAAGAGAATGACAAGCACTGAGCATATAATGTTACAATTTAAAAAATAGTTGGTTTTTCTGCATATTAAAAAGTTAATTTTTCTTAATCATATCAATGTCATACATAATTTCTAATACTTACAGGTCAGTACATCTATCTGTGAATGAAAACCTTTCCAGACAGGGTTAAGCAACACATACAATTTAGTTGGAATAAGATCAGTGCAAAATAATTCTTCTTACTTTGTTTTGGCAGTGATTCACTTTTATTTCAAAATTTGATACTAGAGGAAAACAGATGTCTAGTGAGATTGTACTTTGAACAGGAAAACAAAAGAATTTAATATATGATGCTTTAGAAGGTTCTAGTAGTAGAGTTCAACAGGAAAGGAACACTTTTGGTTCTCCTTCCAAATTTACTCTTCACTTCTAGTGACCTATAACACAGAGCTTTCTGCTAATAAATATTTCCGAGGACTTTACCTGACAAGTATGTTATCCAAAGCTAGAAAAGATCATACAGATTTCCCAGTCAGTTGTTTGATGCCTGAAGAGCCACATAGAAAACGGAAATGACTAGAATGGAGTATGGGCATGGGGTCAGTGATGGGATGGCGGGAAGTGGAGGAGTGGGGGTCCCATTTGAAAAGCATCCAAAACAAACAGGAAAAAAAAAGTTTCAACAGCAGGGAAAAGTCTAAGAAAACAGGGATGCAGGCTGAGTATCAGTTTGCCCTCTCTATGACCTTTTCTTTTTAAGAACAGAATATATTTACTGAGATAAAGAAAGCTTGTGTCTGACACAGAGACAGAACCCGTCCTGAGTGGGTTGCCCTCTCTGACCTTTTTATGCTTTCAATGCAGATTTTCTTTCTTTCTTCTGAGACAATCAGCTAAAACTTGATTGTACTTCACAACCTATAATTATTGAGAAAAGCTGTTTTGTACTTTTTAAATTCCTTTTTTTTGCGCTTCTACCTACCCAGCATCTAACAAAGTCCTGAGCACATTTTGCATTCAGCAAGTGAATGAATTTAGCTTTGAATGATGATTTCCTCAGAGCATCGACTCTGGATCAAAGCTCATTTCTGTCTGGCTGTGAATTCATCTTTCAGAACCTTACTTCTTTTTCCTTATATGTTCTCAGTCTTTTTTATTTCTGTAGGCTCTTTTCCTTTACGCTATACCCATTTTAAAGTTTTTTTGTTTAACAAAAGTAAAATAAAACTTTTCCTTGGCCTTGTAGTTATGATTCTCTTCTCAAAACTCTGAGGGGAATTTGTCAGTGTTTCTTTACTTGTACAATAGATGTTCAATGTCTGCTGTGTAGGTGGCCCTCTGTTAAATTCTGGTAAAGTAGGAACTCCTCTCATGGAGTCTTTCTCCTAGCAGGGACAATTTAACAAAGAGGAACAATGAGTTGTTTTCACAGGAGGCACAGAGAGCTAAGGGGAGCATTCCCCACACAGGGTTACCTGCCATTCATTCCTCATCCCACCGCCCCATCACCCTGTTTCTGTAAACTGACAGTACAAATTCAAAAGAGTAATGTGGCCAAAAGGAAGACTTTTTCTGAATAATTTCCATACATTTGATATCAATTTGGTGTGGAGATATGTGGATATACACATGATATGAATGTGGTGCTGTTGTGTTTGGGTAACAGTTTGTCCTCCATCTTTAAGTAGGGGAACTACACAGAGCAAGATCCAGGAAAAGAGCAGAGAAGTGGGCTCCTGAAACTCACAGAGGGTGGAGAACTTTCTTTTGAATACTTCTCTTTTCTCCATTCCTTTAGGTCCCTGCCCCAAGGCAGCCCTGTAACAGTGACAACAATTGTAACTGGTACAGATAAGGAGGGTGGTGTCTTAGTTCATGCAGACCATTGTATAAAAAATTCCTCAGACAGGGTAATGAGCAAACGACAGAAATTTATGTCTCCCAAGTATGAAGGCTGAGAAGTCTGAGATCAGCACCAGAATTGCAGTGTTTGCTAAAGACCTATTTCCAGTTTCACAGATAGCATTTTCCAGCTCTGTTCTCACTTGATGGAATGAGTAAAAATCTTTCTGGGGCTCCTTTATAAGGACACTAAACCTGTTCAAGAGGACTTTGCTTTCATGCCCAAATCATCTTCCAGAGGCTCCACCTCCTCATATTATCACTTGGGTGATGAGGTTTCAGTATATCAATTCTCAAGGGTACACAAACATTTAGACCATAGCACAGAGAAAACTCCTCTGATCAGAGAGCTGTGATCCAGAAGAATGAACATGTGCCTTGTAGTTTGGGGACAGTGTGCACATGCAAAGGATGGGGTCACTAAATCTACAGCCTAAAATCTACAGCCAGAGAGCTACAGTGATAAAGTTAGAGAATTGATGAGTATTGTACAGAAGAAATCATGGAAAAAGTGGGAATTAGGAAAAGGACTCTATAGAGTTGTTTAAGGACTCCTGAGCTTAACCTGGAAGAATACATACATAACATACCAAAGACAATAAAAAGAGAAGTATGTGATAGGGTAACTCCCTAATCCCAGCCTGTTTGTATATGGGCCAGAGTCAAGAAGCACTACAAAAACATTTTACATGGAACTGACATTGAAACACAATAGAAAACAAGCTGTCAAAACTTGCAGCCTAATGCCGACCAAAATTATGATCTTCCAAAGAACTTTTGAAAGGCCATATACTTAATATAAAATAGTCAAATCAAGCATAATGTTTTAAGTGTATGAAAAGCAACAACTGGTCAATTATGAGAAACAGAAAAGGAACAGAGGCCACATCTATAGATATCACAGTCGTGTAACAACACTGTATTTTAAAAATAGGAAAAGAATGTGAAAAAAAATCCTATAACAAAAAAGAATGACCGGAGAGTTTTGTAATTAGTCAGATGAAAATTGTAAACCAACACTTACAATATTAAGGAAGCAATTACTATTCTGAAGGAAAATCATAAAGAGAAATACAAGAACTCAGACACAAGGTGGCCAATAAACAGTGGGTTACAGTGGGGACAAGAACTTGAAGAATTTTAGTGGATGAATGGAAGAAAAAATTTCAGAATTCAAAACTAAATCTGAAAAAAAATAAATTTTAAAAAACCCTGGATAAACTGGGCCTGGTGGTGCAGGCCTGTGGTCCCACCATTCTGGCAGGCTAAGACAGGAGAATTTCAATTTTGAGCCTACCTGGGCAACTAAGCAACTCAGTGAGATCCTGTCTGGAAAAATACAAGAGGTTTTGTGATGCAGATCAGTACAAAGACCCTGGGTTCAATCCAGAGTACCACTCTCAAGTAAGTAAATAAACTTTAATAAAATGATACAATTTAAGTTCATAATCAACAAAAAACTGTTGAAACAGTAAGTTTGCAAATACTTAGCTAAATATATTACATTTGGATATAAACTAGGAATAGCTATAGATCTCATAACCTCAGAGCAGCAGTAACAAAACCCCGCAGGAATTTCAACCAAAGAAAATGATCTTTTTAAAACAAATATGATAGAACACATGGAAAACCTATTTATTCAAACTACTGTTTTTTAAACAATTAACATTAGAAATAAATTTCAAATAGTCAAACTATATAAAAAAACTATAGATGGAAAGGCATGCTTTTTTATTGATTAAAGATTTGAAATTTTATCAAGATTTCTTCCTCAATCAACTTCCAAAGTAAGTATTTATTATATATTAATTGATATAAAATTAATTATTAATTATCATAATTCCAATTAAATATCAGCAATCTTTCTTATAGAGCTAGGTAAGTTCATAATAAAAAAAAGATGTAAACATAGTAAAATGGCAGGGGAAGAGTTTTGTGGAGGATTTGGTTTCAGATGATATTTAATCATAACACAAAGTGTCTATAATTAAAACGGTGTGGGGCTAAAATAGGAATAGAAAGACAAATGTAATAGAAGTAAAAAATAAACAAATTACATACAGAAGTCTAGTACATAATAGAAGTGGTTGGCAAAACCATTGGGCATAAGGATGGATTTTATAATTAATAATGCTGGATCAATTGGAAATTGGGAAAGATAAACTTAGATCTAAATCTCATAGAATAATAACAAGCTCCAAATGAATTAGAGATCTAATGTTTTTTTTTTTAAGTATTACATTACTACTAGCAAAATCAGGTAAATTTCTTTATAATTTTAGTACATCAAAATCTTAAATTCTGGAAGTAATTTTAAAACTTGGTAAATTTGAACTACACAATAATTTTGGCAGATGGAACTGGGGCTCGAACTCGGCACTTCACATGTGTTGAGCAAGCATTCTATCACTGAATTATATCGCTATCCCACAAACTTTTAAAAGCTAATTTTCATAAGAAATGCCATTAGGAAATTTAG